TATATATATATATATATATATATATATATATACGTTGATTGTTGATCTCTTATTAGGTAGCATTTTGGCGATATTTTAGATGACTTCCTAATTTGAGTTACATGTCATTAAACTAACCTTGAATTCTAAATGTAATTAGCTTTTAATGATAGTTAATCTTTATGGGATGCTATGGTATTTAGGAAAGGTAGCTAAACTAGGCTGGTAAAGTAAGTAAAGTAAGTAAACAACATATACTGGTTCTATTTTCAACTTTCTCTTAAAACATACAATACTAGGATTGGAGTCATAAAGACAATTATTGTTAGGATTAAAAATTTTGCAGATATAATTAACTTAAGTGAAGACTGAAACTGTTATTTCTTAGAAATAATTCTCCTTTAGGCTTAATTCAAAATAATATATTTTAAAAATGAAGCTACTTGGTATGCGTAGATGTTGGCATGCCTTTTATTTCGTTTGAAGAGGCTAATGGCAGGAATTTGTAAATGTGCCTAATCATCAATTTCACAGGACGTGATCTGTGGACTTCATCACACAAATTTACTGTCACATTTCTAAATCAATACTTCTTAGGTTTTTGGTGAGGCCAATTTAAGAATCCCTTTCACTCGCATCTTCAAACGAACTTAAGAGTATGCTGGCATCAGTATATTAATGGATTCTTCTAAAGCTCGGGTTTTCTTCACATCTCTGTAGTACTATGTGTAAGGCCTAATACGAACGGGATTTTACTTTATTCTTATCCAATAATTACCACTCCTAGCTCCCCCAGTTTATGAAGACAATGGAAAGTATGGAATTCAGTTTTAACTTTACTTATCCAACTTAGATCGCATCATTAAATCTTAATTTCCTTCTTCAAACTACCACTAAATATCAATTATCTAGAATTTGTATTTGGTAAATTAATTGCCCTCTTAAATATCCATTTTTAAAGAATATGTGATATGTAGAAAACTAATTATTCTTACAACCTAGTGAAAGAAGTTCTCCTTTTCCTATTTGCACATTACCGAGTTACCTAAAGTGGATGATTAGTTTTTTTATAACCTTGAATTAATAAAATCACCTTATGTGGGGATTCGTAATTTTATTTCGAAATTAGAGACTGCTAGATCATAAATTTTTAGAGCATCATTTTTGACCATTCTACTTCACAATCCTGTGAAATAATGATAAAGTCCTTATATAAAGTATAAGATAAACTTCTGATTCGTTCTTTTAGTTGTTAAAACAACTTGAAGTTAAGGCGCTCCAGCTCGCGTGTCCACTTCCTGCTTCGTCCTCAACTCAACGACTGCCTGTTTCTACGGCTGGCATGGCAATAATGTCTGCTCGGGCAGCAGCAGCTTCTTCGCGAGCCGCTGTTCACACGGCACACCTACGTTGCGAATGGGATCAACTTACATCAGCGCTTGCTGAAACAGCAGAGGCGCTAGCGCGTGCCCAACGCACCGATAGCATTTTTCATGCCGTGGAAGCAGTGGCAAGTCGCACCGAAGCCATACGATTATTGATAACGCCAGCAATGGTCTCAGCTAATGAGTCAGAAATTATTTTGCATCCGTCTGAAAATTCCACAATTGGTGAGGTTCTCAAGCCCGGTCAGTTGACCTCGCCAAGTCGAAGGCTCTGTCTGAGTGACCGAACAAATGTCTCTAAGATAAATAACATGGATGAGGTTCAAACTGTCCTTACAGAGAACAAGGTGAACAAGCTACTTGCAGTCTCTTTCATGATAATATTTGTTTTCCGACTAGATCATTTCTGATTCAATTAAACTGCTATTTGCTTAAAAACAATCAGCGCTATTTAGCCATTTT